GAGATGGGCTCTCTAAAGAGTCAGGGGTGTAAGCCACCCTGACCCCCTCAGCCTTCCTAAGCAGCCTTGGCTTCCTTCCTGTACTGCTCCCTCAGGGGCTGATTCCCAACAGGAGAGCAGAGCATCTGTTCTGGTTTCCAGGAATAGCGTGGGCAAAACGTAGGGCAGCCTGGGTGGAGAATGTCCCGTGTGCCCTGGACCCCCTAAGCGTGGAGTTCCTAGAGAGAATTCCAGACTCCTAAGGCCATGGGTTCTCTACCAGCTGGAGTGAGTCTGTCTTACCAAATTCCTAAAGTGAAGTAGTCTTGGACAGGCTGTCGGTGAGGGAGGAAGTGACAGCCCTGGGGGGTCAGGACCCAGGAACTCCAGGCTGAACACCGGCAGTCCAGCCCCAACCCCGCCACCCTGGAAGGAGGTGACTCCATTACTCTGAGCGCTGGTCCCCTCCCAGAGCGTCTCTCTGTGCCCCCACTTCCACTACAGCTCTGAAAGCCTCCCCTGCTAAAATGGAAAGTTTCAGAAGCTATGGCTCTGGGGTGCTGGGAAGGAGAGGGGTCCGGAGCCAGGAGAGACAGAGAAAAGACAAGGCTGCAGCTGCAGGAAGAGCCGTAGGCGGGGTAAACAGGGTGGGGAGACAGAGAGGGGTCAGAGCAGCACAGAACAGACTGCGCACAGAGGGCACGGAGAAAAGGGAGAGAGCTCAGATGCAGAAGGGCAGAGCCCAGGGCGCCGCGTTTTCCTGAGCCTGGCCTCGAATCAGAGGCTCTTCAGCTCACCTTCTGCTAAACTGGGCCCCTTCCTCTTCTTCCACAGCTAGCATCCCTGGAGCGGAAGCTTCTAGACTGTGGAGTCAGAATGTCTGGTTCTGCACTTACCAGCTGTGTGGTGTCAAGCAAGTCACTCAACCTTTCTGTGCCTTAGTGTCCTCTACAAAATGGGGATCATGGCAGCACAGCTTCGCAGGATCTCTATGAGGTTTACGTGTAGAGCGCTGCCAGCAGGGCAGTAAGTGCTGTGTTAATATTTGCTCTATTGTCACTCTTTCCCGCTTGTCCTCCTCCATTCTCCTTCTCTTCTTCTCTGTCCTACCCCAGTGCAGGCCCTAGTCCTGGTCTTTGGGGATGGGGCAGGACAGGTGGGCAGGGGTATGTTTTGGGGGCATAGGGCTCACAAAAGAAGCTGGTGTCCCCTGATCCCAACCACCCCCTCCAGCTGCAGCTGCTCCAGAGAGGACTTGCCTTGGTGTGGAGTATGGGAGGCAAGGAGCGTCTCCTTCCTTCCTTCCTCTGAAATGTTGCAGGCTGCAGGTCTCTGGGCTTTCCCAATAGACCTTGGTGGAGGAAGAGTCCCCAGATAATGCAGGTAGGGCTGGGCCAGAGTGCCCCCACTGACCCTACCAATTCTAGTCTCCTGACTCCCTGATTTTTTCCAGTGGGTATTTGCCTCCCAGCTTATCACCTCTGAGTAGCCCTCAGGGATTAGACATGAATCTTGGCACCCCCACAGGGTGCTTCCGAGGTCACAATCCTCAGAGACTTTGAGTCCAGTCTCTAGTGCATCCATCCAGGAGTGGGAAACACGGTTCTCTCCCTAATCTCTGTGGCCTCTAATTTCTAAATATCAGGAAGTCCTTCTTGCTATCTGCCCTCCTCCATTCTACCTGGATCTGAAGGGGTTAGTCAGCTCCAGGCCCCACCCCCTGTTGCAGGTCCCAGCTGCCTGGGGCCTGTGGTCAGAGCTAATGTAGGCGAGAGTTAGAGGACAAGAAGGGATAGAGTTATTAGCGTCTTTATCTTTGAGGAATATCGATTGTGGGGTCTCCAGGCTCACTTGGTCTTATAATGGGGCTCACGGGGGTGATGGGAGGGGCTCAGGAGAACCTCATGGAGCTCCCGGCCCTGACAGTGGGTGGGAGCAGGGCTGCCTGGGCCTTGTCAAAGAAAGACACATGCAGACACAACCTGGGAGGAACGGGCTCTGGGAAGGCAGAGGGAGCTGACAGGGGGGTTAGGGCTCGTTATCCTGGACAAGGAGAAGGCTGTGGGGTGGGCCAGACAGCTGAGGTGGACATGGGCTTTTTACTACACTTTGCTTCAATGTGTGCTCAACTCACATGCATGTGCATGAGAGACAGAGAGAGAGAATGCAACTGAGCTAGAGAGTCAAGATGGCAGCACTGGGAGAAGGCAGGGGTCCCTCCTCCTGAGGGTCATATACATGCAAGTGACCCCCACCTTCCCTTACGGAGGCACAGCCCCCTCCGCTAACATTGGATGCTCTGTGACACCTCACCTGCCCCTGTCCAAGCAGCCGTCTCAGCACGTGGTGGTGGGTGGTACCTCATGGCAGAGCATATTGCCCCCTTCTCGCCCCCAGGGTGACTTTGGTCCCAGCATGTCTGGTTTTGTGTTTATATGGGACAGTCCCTATGTGAATGTTTGTGAAAACTTGGCTCTTTGCACACATCTGTGCAAATTTCTGTTCCCAACCTGAACTCAGAGGGGATGGAGGTGGGGAAGGGAGCTCAGGGATCTGGCCCCTTTCCCAGCCAGAGGTTTTTCAGCTCCTGGCTGACCATTTTCCAAGATGGGGATGGAGCTTAGGCTGCAGAAAGCCTCCAAGGGGTGAGCACCTCAAAGAGGAAAACGTGGGGAAGTGGGGGTGCCAGGGATAGAAGAGCATGATCTCCCCTCCCTCCCTCTCTTCCCCCCTGCCTCTAGACTCCATCCTTTCTTCCTCTCTTCTCCTTTTCTTCAGAAGCTGAGAGGAGGGGGCAGGAGTGGCTTCTTGGGCAGGGGGTCAGGCTGGTTCCTTTGGCCCTGGAGGAGCTGGCTTTTCCTCTGCTGGGCTGGGAGAAGAGGTAATTAATGACAGGGAGGCCGGGAAGGGGGAGTGTTCAGGGCTAATGTTGGTATTAATGAGACGCTGGTCCCTAGCGAGGGATAGGATTCAGCTGGGGCACTGTGTGTGTGTGTGTGTGTGTGTGTGTGTGTGTGTGTGTGTGTGAGTGGGGGGTTATGAGGGACCAGGAGCTCCTGACTTATTCTGTCAACATCCTCCTTCCCCATAGTGCCCCTCTACTCTGCCGCTTGCCCTTTGCCTTTGTTTTTGTGGAAGTCTCTCCGCTATCTGCCTTTAGACGCCTGCTGAGGGAGGGCCAGGATTCCTCCCTAAGTCCAAGTCCACCCTGGATGTGGGAATGGGGCAGCCCCCTCAACCCTTCCTTAGCCCTTACTGTGGGTAAGGTAAGGGGGTGCATTAGGTGATTCCCGAGGCTGTCAGCTCGGCTAATTGCCTCTCAACCTTCCCTTCATCACCAGGGCGCATCCCCACGAACTCCATTAGCCACCCCCCCCCCGCCCCTGACGGGCCCTAAATCAGCCCCAATTATTCACAGGAGGGGGGTCTGGGCTGAGCTGTGATTACAGCTAGAGTGGTGGGGCTGAGAGAGATGGGAGCTGAGTGCCAGGAAGACTGGTTGGTGGGCAGGCCACAGGCAGGGCTGGGGTGGGGGAGGGGAGTGGGTGGAGGCCTGTGGACAGATCCAGGCCAGGGACCACCCAGGGGCAGGGACCTGGCCTGGGCACTTGAAATAGGAAGGGGAGGCCAGGCAGGCACCCGGGGGTGATAGCTCGTATTTAGCCCCAACACCCCAGCACGCGGTTAAGACTTAGGAGGGTTAGGGAGTGAGCCATTCTGACTGCTGTCATCACTGCCAAGGATGCACGCTAAGCTTGGTTGGAGAGGCAGGGATGGCAGCAGGAATGCTCTGTCCTTTCAGGCTTTCCTGAAAGGACCTCACTCTTCCTTTCAGCTCTTGCTCAGGGCAGCCAGTCTCCTTCCTCTGTCCATGTTCTGGTGAGCACACGGAGTGAGACTGTGAGTGAGACAGGCAATGGTAGGTGGGGTGTGCACTGACATCCTACCTGCTGAGGTGAGTTGTATGTTCAGGGGAGAGACCAGCGGCAAGCTCAGCTTTCAGCCACGACTTCCGAGTGGGATCAGGGCCTCTCAAGCCCTTTCCAATTCCATCAAGGCAGCTTCTTCTAGGACTTGTCAGCAACCCCTCCCATCCTGGAGGGAAGAGACACACACACTTCACCGCCCCCAGTCCCCTCTGTTAGCACTCTGCTGTGTTCCGAGGCATGCGCTCCTCGGCACCTTTGCTGGACCATGCCACTGTCATGGCTCACCTAGATCTGCACAGTGGTCGCTGGCCTCTCTGCTGCCACCATGCTCTCTACAACCCATTCTCAACACAGCCCCAATTCTTGTAAAACCTGAGTTGCATCATATGCCTCCTCTGTTCCCAGTCCTCTGGTGGCTTCTCACCCCAGGAAGAACAAACTCTACAGCCTGACCACAGGTGACAGGGCCCTGCAGGGTCTGACCACCACTGTACTTCTGTCCTCAACACTTCCCACCATGCTCTCCTCACTAACCTGGTTCCGGTCAACCAGCTAGTCTTTGAACATGGCACATGTTCTGGCTCCAGGGCCTTTGTACTTGCTCTTCTCCTGCTCTTTCCCTCAAAATCTGTGTGACTCCATACTTCGCCCCTTTAGGTCTTCACCTGGAGGTTACCTTGTTAGTGAGGCCTTCCCTGACCACCTTCCAAAAACTACACCCCTCAGGGCTCCCTATTCCCTTCCTCTGTTTTGTTTCTTTCTATTTTTAATCATCCATCCACTGTGTCATGATCTAACCAATTTAGTTAATTTACCATCTCTCCACCACACCACCACTAAAATGTAAGCTTCATTTTTTTTAGTTACCATATTCTATGCCTCTTCTGTTCATAGCCATAGCCCCAATGCCTGTACATAGTAGGTGCTCAACAAATCTTTATTCAATGAATGAATAATTGACTCTTCCCCAACTAGCATATGAGCTCTTTGAGAAAGGAGACCCTTATTTCTCCCTTAAATAAGTTATTTAATATAAAGGTCTTTTTTTCTTTTCTTTTCTTTTCTTTTTTTTTTTTTTTGAGAGAGGGGAAGGGAAGGAGAAAGAGAGGGAGTAAAACATCAATGTGTGGTTGCCTCTCAGAGGCCCCCACTGGGGACTGGGCCCGCAACCCAGGCATATGCCCTGACTGGGAATCGAACTGTGACCCTTTGGTTCACTGCCCATGCTCAATCCACTGAGCTACACCAGCCAGGGCCAATCCAAAGGTCTTAAAAGAGGGACTGGTAGGGTTCATTCAATAGAAGTTAGTAGTTGCCACCAATCATCAACTCATTTCCTCTGATCCTGGGCACCAGCTGAACACAAAAGAGTACTTGTTGAAGAAAAGGATGAATGAGGGCTGTTGGTCCTCTTGTACTTCCCTGGAGGCAACAGGGGAACTTGTGTCCTGCTGGCTGTAGGGCTGGGCCCAGGAGTGCGTTGGGTCCAGACTGAGCACAGCACAAGGTAGCAGCCATTCACTGTAACATTCATGGAGCACTCACTTTGTGCCAGGCCCTGGGATCACAAAGATGATTTTGACCTGGCCCCAGTCCTTGAAGAACTCAGAGTGTAGGGAGAGAGGCAAGTTAATCTTTCATATGTAGGAGTTGGATGGGGAGGGAAGGACAGAGGCTGGAAAGAATCCCAGAGAAAGGGCATTGAGCTGAATGTGCAAGGATGAGAACAAGTGAGTCAGGTAAAGGCAAGGAAGTACTCACGTTCCTCTTTGGCCTTCAATCTCCCCACTTGCTCCTTAACGGTGATGGTGACTTTCAAGGCCCCTCTGGCCATGGACTGCTGTTTCTCTGTGGTCTTTGGCCTCCTGGGGCTGTGCTGTGGTCTCTGCTGCCCTCTGCTGGAGACTGTTGGTGGCACTTAAGTCAAGAAAAGCTACATCCAACTTTTCCTTTTCCTTTCCTCCCTTCTCTAAAATGAGCAACACTATCCAATCGGCCCCTCACAACACCTTCCACCTCTCCAGCACCAAATTAAACAACACTTGCTTGTCTCTCAGATAAAAATATATTCTCAGTACATATTATTGACAAAGAACTTGACACCAGAGTACATAAAGAACTTATAACCATTATAACCCAGCAATCCCACTCCTAAGTAGCCACGTACCAAGATAAATGAACACTTATGCCCACACTAGACTTCCACATGAATGTTCTTGGTAGTTTTATTCATAGTACCATCAAATTGGGAACATCCCAGTGACTATCACATTGTAGAAAGATGAAATGAATTGGGGTAAATTTACACAATGGAATACCAATCAGCAACAGCAGCAATGAACTATTGAAAAGCCTTACAGTCAGTGAAAGAATCCAGGCACAGATGAGTACATATTATATGAATCATTTAAATGAAATTCTAGAACAAACCAACCTGTACTAATGAGAAGAGGTGTGTGGCGCTGTGGGAGGAGGAGCGGCAGTTGCTGTTCAGTGAGGTCAGAGTTTCAGTTCGGTCGGTGGGAGAGTCCTGGAGATGGTGGTGATGGTTGTTGCACAATATGAATGAAGTTAATGTCAGTTAAAATGGTATAATTTATATTAAATATCTTTTACCACAGTAAAAGAATCTAAAAATCATTATGAAACTGCATTTTTAAGTGGGTATGTTTTTATTGTTTGTCAATTATACCTCAATAATATAAAGTTGATTTTTAAATGTCCGCAAGGAGGAATGTTCCTGTCTTGCTCTCCCTCAACGATTGTAGCTTTTCCAGGTGGTGGTCTGCAAAGGGAACCATGTAATTGGATGGACCACAGACCTCCATTCAATTTCTGCTTCTGCCACTTACTAGTTTTCTAATCATGCGAGACATTGGTTTCATCATGTACATGGAACCAATCTTGATTTAAGGATCAAATTAAGCAATACACCTAAAGGGCTGATGAGGACAGCAAATGGTATAAAATTGTCTTTGTCCCTTTAGACAGAGACTGTTAGGGGAAAGGTGCCCTAAAAAGGGTGTGGGGCTGGTTGACGACCTCTGGAGTGAGCACTTACGCTCAGGTCAGATGTGCCGGCTGCGCGAGGTGGACTCTGGCCACCAGGAGGCGCCCCGCAGAGGCCGCAGGCTGTGACGGAGACTCCGCAGTAGGCTGCTTTCCAGTGTCACACCCGCCCACAGGGTGTTTGTGGGAGGCAAGAGGTGTTGGTTCCCCGCCCGCCCACCCGCTACCTTTCCGGAGCTGAGATGCGGCCAGTCGGTCCCCGACCGGTCTTGAATGAAATCACCGTCGCTGGCAGCACCGGCAAGGTGCAAGGCTATTGAGTCTGCTCCGCAAGCCCACTTTGCAGACGGGAAAGCTGGAGCCCGGGAGGTGCAGTGGTCCGGGCCGCACAGTTGTCGGAGAGCTGCGGTTCTCCAGTCTCATTCCAGTCCGCTCCGGTCCCGGCTTCCGAGGGTCTGTGCTCCTTGGCCTCGGCGGTCCCACCCCAACACCCTTTTCCTACCGGGTTCGCGGGATCTTCCCACTCCCGGCTCGAGGCTTCTTTGTCAAAACTTCCTGCCTCGGCGAGTCCCACCTCCTTCCTGCCCCCCGCCCCTCCTCGTTTCCCCGCCCGGCCGGCCACAGCCTTCGGCTCCCGGGGCTCCACTGTCGGGCAGGGGCTCCACGCAGACCCTCGTCCCAGTCTTCACCTGGGCCACCCCGGCAGTCCGCACCCCAGACTGACAGGTGAGTGACTGCACCCCACGCCCCAGGTGAAGGGCAGGCGGACTCTGAAGTCCCCTCTGAATTGAAGTCTGAGCCCCCAGGGTCGGGGGTGGCGGCTGAGAGAGACAGAAAGAGATACGAAAGGCTGGGTGCAGTGGAGAGGGGCCCAAGGGGATTGGGGTTGCCTTGCAAAATAAAGCAACAGGTACATGATATGCAAATAAGGCAGCTTCCCGAGTCCCTGCTGCAACCGGGTGAGTCCAGGGCAGCCTCCAGTTGCTTCCCCTTCCAAGGGCTGGAGAGAGGAGGAGTACCAAGCCCTCTACGTGGCTGAGGGAGCGTTCAGAGCACCCACGGGGGAGTCATGGCTGCTAAGTTGGAATCTGCCCTGTTCCTTACTACCTGTAGGAGCTTGGTCAGCCGCCTCACTTTCTCATTTCCAAAAGGGGAATAATAATATATGGTGCCTACCTTATGGGGTGGGTATAGGCTTGGATGAGGAAAAACATGTCTCCTGGCCAATGTTTATTAATAGGGTTGCCCTTCTCCCCTCCAAAAGTGTTTGAGGACGATGTAGAGAAATGACCCAGGTTTGCAGGTTCCTGGCACTCAGAGCTTTGCCACTGTTGAGGACTAGGAAGCTGACCAAGGTCTCAGGTACCTGGGTCCTCATAAAACCCTGTGGGTTTGGGATGATTTGAGGTGGTGCTAAGAGCAAGACCAGTGTAGTGTAGAGGAGGTGACATTAGCTGAGGACAGGTCCAGATCCACATCCTGGGCCCTAGCAAGGCCATCCCTTACCCTCCATGTCCAGCCTCCAGTAGTGGACTCTCTGCTTTCCTGGCCCTTTATGGTCGGCCTCTCCTGGGCCTGGGCAGAGATCCCAGTCCCAAGGGGTGGGAACAGTTTGTGCTAGCCTGAGGTTCCCAGGCTCAGCCAGACCTCTCAGCTCCAGGAAAGACTGGGCAAGGCATCATCTCTAAACCCTGAGCTGGGCCTAGGGGACAGACAGCTGTTCTCTGAACCCCAGCCCACCCCATTTCATGACGTAAGACCTGTGTGAGTGCACATGTGAGCCACAGCGTGGGGGCAGCTCTCCCATCTCCTGTCATCTGCGCCCTGCTGCTGCCTCTCCCACTTCTGAGGTCTCCTGAAGTCTACCCACTGTATTTGTTGCTGCAGTTGGGGCTACCTTTTCTTCCACCTAGGAGCTGGCTTGGTAGCCAGGTTCACCTCTCTGTCTTCCTCTCTTCACTGGGAAGTGAAGCTCATGGTTGGCATGTGTTTCTTCACTGTCCCCACCCCTACCATTGCCTGTCAGACTTTCCCAGAGGAGGAGACTCCAGGCGGCCCCATCCGTCAGTCGGAAACCTGGGCAGAGATGGAGGTCACTGGGCTGCCGTTTGCCTCCCCCATCAACACGTGCTGCTGGGAAGGGGCTGGGATGGGGCTGGGATGCTGCCCGGCCTCTCCTCCTACCCTTGGAAGCCTGAGAGAGAGGACTCCCGAGACAGCGAGGGGCTCCAGGGCACACCCTGACACGATCTGGGGAGAGTGTCGGCTCCATTCCTGGCACGTGATCTTTGGGGAGAAGCCAGCAGGAGGAAGAAGATAAGGCAGGGAAGGAGAAAGACAGAGATATAGAGAGACGTGAGTATGGAAACAGAGAAAGAGACTTAGAGACTTCTGGAAGCAAAAAAGTCCAGAGGGGGAAAGAAAGCCAACTTAGAAAAACAGAGCAGAGACCTAGAGAAGGAACAGGGATGAGAGGCGGAAGGGAAGACAGAGGGTCAGAAGACCAGACAGAAGCCACAGGGAGAGAAGGACCTGAAGGGGCTGCGCAGGCTGGTCCAGACCCAGCCGGTTGGCTGTATGACCTGGGACAAAGGCCTTAACCTTCCTGGAATATTTCTTTATCTACAAAATAGGAAGCATCCTAGCACCTACTTCCAGGATGGCTGAGAGAATGAAAAGAAAGGATCTAGCCCACAGGATATACTTAAGAAGGGGCAACAGTTGGTATTACGGTGCCCCATATGGCAAGACAGAGGTCTCCAGGGAGGAATAGCACACGGGTAGGTCCTGAGGCCTCCTGGGTCCCCTGCCCCCCAAAGTGGTAGTCCCTCTGTTTGGAAGGAGGTGTGGATGGACAGTGAGGAGACATTGTTCCTGTGCTGGAGGTGCCACCCCATCCTCTTGAGGTGACTCAGTACTGCGCTGTGGCATACTCACCCCCCAGGAACGTGGGGAACAGCCCTGGCGGACTCCGGCTGGAGGCCAGAGGGTCAGGCCTGGAGCTGCTTTTCATTTTGTAGCATTGGAAGTTCTTTCCGGAACTGTACCTTTCATCATCTCGCCAATGTGTCCTGAGGGCCTGGAAGGGGGACCGGTTTTGTCTAGTGAACCAGGGAGAAGCCACAGCCTCCAACCATCTCTCTCCCATTCTCCACAAAGTAAGATCAAGCCTTACTGGAATTGGGAAGGATTTCAGTCCATTAGTCCACTCACTCCACACAAATGTTTAGTTACTGCTGGCTGCTGCCAGGCCCTCTGGGTGCGTGCAGCCGGGTGCTGGTGGTACTGGGGATGCAGCGGGGAGGAAGGCGGAGAAAGGCCCTGACCCCAGGGAGCTCCATTCCAAAGACAGACCTGAACAAAAACACAATGACTGTGGGATGGGAGCGAACACCCAGTGGGCCATCACCCCACTACTAAAGCCTAGGAGAGGAGTTAGATTGTGGGGTGGGGGGGACCAGGCCTGGCGGGAAACCAGACTCACAAACCAGCAGTCGCAAGTGGGGTCTCATTGCCAGATCAGCCCATGAGATTGAGGCCTTCCAGGGGCTGTGAATTTCCGGGTTGGCCCGGGTTGGTCCCGCATGTCCCCAGAGGAAGGGTACCGGCACCAAGCCTTTGGCTGAGGTCTCCACAAGTACTGACCCATGTCCATGAGGCTGGGCTTGGGGCCGAATGTGGAGAGAAGAACAGCCCAGGTCTCCTCTGGGCCAGGGTACTGGGGGTCCCTGGGGTGTTGACAGCAGGGAGGAAGGGGTGAGGTCTAGAGCCGCCGAAGGGGCTTCCTGGAAGAGGCCAGCCTGAAAGGATGAGTAGGACCTGGGCATTTCAGGGGTGGCTTGAGCAGAGGTGGCTGTGTGGTGAGAGTCATCTGGGGAGAAGCAGGCTGTCCAGTGTGATGGGACAACAGGGGCAGAAGCCATGGAGCGGGACATCTGGCGAGACTTGCCCTTGGGTGCCCTTTTCCTGTGGTGTAGGGAGCCGTAGAAGGCATTAGAGAAGGGTGGTGGCTGCAGCAAGGCTGCGTTTTCTGGGGGTGGCGGTGAGCACCCCCTGATGGTGGGCCAGAGGGGAGCTTTCTGTTGGAGCCAGAGTTGCTCCCTGGCCTGTGTCACTCCAGGGTCACCCTCCACATACTGCCTTTTTGTTTAATTTTCACCTGAGGACAGTTTTTCATTGCTTCCAGAGAGAGGTGGAGGGAGAGAGGAAAGGAGAGGAACATCAGTTGGTTGCCTTCTGTATGCACCCAGATGGGGGATTGAACCTTGCCACCTTTTGGTTATGGAATGTTCCACCCAACTGAGCTGCAGCAGCCAGGGCTGCTTCCTTTTTTGAAGGAGAATTGTAGTCCTGTAGTTGCCTCTGACAACCAGCCAGCCCTCGGGCAAGTCAGTTTACCTGAGACCCCATGGTCTCTCCTGTGAAGTGAGAATAACTGCCACTAGCGCCTAAGGGTGGTGACGAGGGTCAGGACTGGCACTGGTGGCAACCTCCAGTAGGGGTTGAGATGTTTGGTGCATCAGAATCCCTGCAGTTTCCCTATTTCCTGTTGAGTAAACAAGTCAGACAGAAGACCCTCTAGCTTCTGTTTCCTGAGCCACAGAGAACACAAGGCCTGCCCCTCACCCCTGCCCTTTTCCCGCCCCGCCTCTGGCACATAGACGCAGGCTTCCTGTCCCTCCATCTGGCAGACAGCCCCGGAGTGCTGACGGCCTGTCTTGGCTGGATGTAGGAGGGCTCTGTGCTTGTGTGTACAAGCATGCGCATGTGTGCCCTGAGTGGCGTGTGGAGCTGGGTCAGAGCACATCCGTGCGTGGGTAGTGAGGGGGAGTCCTCCAACCGGGTCTTACCGACTGGGGAGGACTAAGGGACCCTGTCTCCATGGCAAAGATTAGTTAGGAAAGGACGTAGAGAAACAGATGCAGAGACAGGAGAGGTACAAGTCAAGGCAGCCTTGGCGCCAAGCTCAGACACGCGTCTCAGTGACCGGGTCACGACTGGAGTTTAGCCTCCACCTCACACTCAAAGGCAGATTTCCTAGTGCAGTGAACATGCTGCCCAGCGCTGCATGGCAGCCCCGACATAGGAAAGGAAGGACAGAGACCAAGAAACTGATGGGGGAAGAAAAGAGGAAGAAGGTGGGGAGCTTCTGATGAAGAACAAGATAAAAGGCAAAAAGAAAGAGGCAGAAAGCCTAAAACTTGAGGGTTCTGTTTCAGCATGAACACAGGCCCCCTGGGCCACCTCTGGTCTGAGTCTCTGTTCCAGGGCGGTCACTGAGACCAGCAGTTCCAGTCCTCACTGCGTCCTGGGAGATTTGGGGGTGGGGTGGGGCTATCTCCCATTTTACAGATGAGGAAGTAGAGGCTCACAGAGCTCAATTGCCATGCCTGAAGTCACATAGCTTGTGACAGCTTGTAAGTACCAGAACCTTTGGATTCCAAGCTGGGAAGAGGAGAGAGAGAGAACGGGCACAGGGGCCGGTGGAACCAAGCAAGGAGTTGGAGGTGGTGCTCAGGCCAGGGGCTAGGGAGGCAGAACCCAGACAACTTGCCTGTAAACTGACTTTGGCTTGAAGAAGTACCTGGTAGTAGGTCTATTGTTCTGGGGGACCAGGTTGTGGGTGGTCAGGGCAGGCCCCTCCCGGTCCCACTTCCTTTCTCTCTCTCAGCATCTAAGTCCCTGTTCCTATTCCTGGATCATCCTGGGGGTTCTTCGGAAAAAACCGCAAGAAACAGCTTTTCATAGAATTAATGCACAAAGGGTATAACAGTGCCAAGGGGCATGGTGGCGGGTGCAGGACCGAGACAGCTAATGTTAACTGAGCCTGTGGGCTCTAAGTGCTTTATGTGCACTAACTCGTGAATTAGTCTGCACACCCACCCTACCAAGGGAAGCACTCTTATCTCCCCGTTTTATAGATGGGATTCACACCTGGCCTTGAGTGGGGCTGGGAGGGCGTGCAGAACTCAGAAGATACCTTTTGCTGTACCATCTTCCAGAGAAGAGAAGCTAGGAGGGACGGGTGAGGAAGTCCCTCTTGCTGCCTCACTTCGTCAGCCCAACTCTTGCTGTTTGTCTTCTGTGGCAATGGATCATGTGTTCATCAGGAATCGTGCCCCGTCCCAGAGGCTTCAGACTCATTCCCCTCCTTCCTGGGCTGTGGCTCAGGGAGGGCAGGGGACTCCCTACTGGAGGGAATTGGGTTGAGCTTGGAGGAGAGCAGGGGAAGGTGAGCTGGGTTGGGCCCTGTGTGGGCTTGGGGGTAAAGAGGGCATGGGCGCCGGGGGCTGTGCACACAGCACTGAGGACTGGGGCCTGGCCTGGAGCCCAGCTGCTCTGCATCTCGAGGTGGAGAGATTCTTGACTGTAAACACATCCCAGTTCCCACGCATCTGATCTCCATTCTTGCTGCAGCCCCACCTCCATCCCCTCCTCCCACCAGGCTTCTCCTCTCCCCATAACTGAGGTTATTAAAAAGAGATACAAAGCCCTGGGATTCCAGTTTGAACTCCGAAAAGACTGGAACCATTGGGAGGCCTCTGCCAGCTCTGATACTCCTGGCTGTGTGGCTGTGGCAAGTGACTTACTGTCTCTGCACCTTCCTTATCTGTAAAATGAATAATAATACCTGCCACAATGGACTGAGAGAAGCTTTAAATAAGATGATCCATATAAATTGCTCAGCACCCTGCCTTACTCAACACAGTAGCCAATGTGTGGGGTCACATTATCATTCTTATTGTGAGGGAAGGTGTCTGGGTCCCTTGAACCAGAGATACAGTGGAGGAAGGAGATTGAGTGGGGGTGGGGGGACTTCTGTACGAGAAGAAGCAGTAGGGGAGACTGGGGGTACATCTCAGTGAATGAATTGAGGGCCCTGGGGTGGGATGGGGTGCTGGCATTTGCCTGATTTAAACCCCTTGAAGGGCTCATGTGATCACAAGGGCCCAGTGCTGCTGGACTGGAGGGCCTGGGAGAAACCGGAAGGCCTTAGGGTCCCCTTGCCCTGCAAGAACAAAGACTCCAAAGGTAACAAACCTGGGAAGCCAGGCTGAGGCTCTGGGCTCCTGACCAGGCCTGTGCTCTCTCCCCAGGGGCTGAGGCAGGTCAGGCCAAACCCTTCCCCTCCCCATTGGGCTCCCCATCTCACGTCCCGCTCCCTGCTGACTACCCACTGGTCTCCCAGACCCCACCCTGGCTTCCAACCCCACTATCAGACAGCTGATACTTCCTCTGAACTCCAGTCCTACCATGAAGCCCTTTGGGAAAATAATCTCCTCACCCTCCACTCAGCTACCTCTGGCCATTAGAGCCTAGCTGTCCTCATGCTCCCCTGTCCACCTCCACATCCCTCTCAGAGCCCCCAGGTGGAACATTTCCTCTAGAAGTTGGTCGGGAGGAGGTGACGGTGGGAGTGGGCTGATGGAATGGAGGAAGGACTTCCTGTGGGCCAGCAGCCCAGTCTGCATGGCCCCTCCTCCCGTGCCTCTACTCAGATCCTTCCTGCTGCAGGCCTTGTCCACCTTACTGCCGCCTCAAACTGGAGACAGCTCCTAGCCAGGGCAAGCCTAGGTCCTGGTGTGGTTGGAGATGAGGCTTGCCCAGGGATAGTCGTGGATCCAGACAGACAGTATTCCAGCCTCAGGACAGGGGCTCCCGTGCCTCGGCTACAGGGGGGTCCAGCAAGAGGGGAATGTGGGAGGAAGAGATGCGTGGAGGGCTCAGGGTCCTGCCCATGGCCCTGGCTGCTGAGCACTTGGGGGAGATACGGAAGGAGGACAGCTGGAAGCGTTCAGGGTGAGAGCTGGGCCTGGGAAGGCAGCTAGAGCAGGGAAAGGGCAGAGGGTGCAGTTTCGGGACATTGGGAGGAGCCGGCTTCCTTTGGGAGGTGGAAGATAGTGTGTGTGGGGGAGGCTGTGGGTGGTGCACTGGGACATGCTGTGGGGTCTGCAGGACACGACTGCTCTCTGAGGACAGGCCGAGTCCCCTCACCCACTCAGAGGGAGCCACAGGGTTCAGCTCGAGAGACTGGAAAGAGGCTTCCGGCCTTGAGCCCCACATCCACCTTCTGAGCTGAGGGCAGTGGGAGGATGGACCCCCCCCCCCCCCCCCCCCCCCATCTCCCAAATACACACATTCCAGCTAGTCTTGATTTCCTGTTTTCAGGCTCTGTATTCTGAGCACCAGGGTTCCCGAGGACACTTTCTGGCCTCTCTGGCTGAGGCTGCGTTGCCCAGCTCAGCTGAATTTCTCAGGTCCCAGGATGCCCTAGGGCCTGGTGAGTTACAGTAGGAACTGAGGCCTGGGGGAGGAAGCACCAAAGCCAGAAGTGGAGATGTGTGTCTAGGGAGCTGCCATGGGGACAGTTGGACAGTGGTGCCAAGGTGCTGCTGCTCTGAGGACTGCAGGGATCTGGAGAAAGATTTTCAGTGGGAGGGAGGCCACCTGGGGAGGACAAGTGGGCCACCCTTGGGCTGAGAGGGATTTCTGTGGGGCAGGCAGTGCCTGTCGGGGAGCCCGGGTAAGTCAGGGAGCACATCTCTTGCTCCAAGACCTGGAGGGAAGGAGTGCAGCCCGGACTGGAACTGAGAGTAGCTGCGGGGCCCTTGGGAGTGTGTGGGTGGGGGCATGGGGTTGGGCAGGCACCGAGCATTCCAGAGATACTCAGGGGTATAATGGGCCAGGAACTTGACCTTCCTGCTCCAAAATCATAAGCAGATGTGGGGGCCTCAGGGACGCGTAGAGCAGGAACCAGGGAAAGTTTTAGGAACATTACACATGGAATCTGAAACCAACTGTGGGGGTGGCCACTCAGGAGCACAATGGACGTATCTGAGTCCTGACCTGTTCCTACTCACGGGGCGAGACTAAGGATGGAGGAGATAGAGAGGGGCCCTTTTCCAAAGGGCTGACAGGGTGGCCAGAGGAAGGTTAAGGCCTACTTGGCTGACAGTGCCTGGAGTTGGGTGCAGTGATGTGCTGGCAAGTGTTTAACAAGCCAGCCACTTGCAGTGTGTGTCTGCGTGTGGCTGGCTTGGGTTTGTTGGTCAACTTCCACGGTATAAATAATCCCCTGTGCCTAATTTCAGGCTGTCACATTTTCAATGTGACATTGGGAGTTGGCAGGAGACACGCACCACGGCTCTCATGGGTCCATAGCAGCAGTGCCAGCACACCAGTCAGGGAGGGGTCTCCTTCAAGGTCACCTGGACCCAGCCCTACCTACTCCCATACCATACAGCAGGAAGCCTGCAACTACATCAGGGTGGTTCGGGCTTCTGCCTGCATACATCCAGTGATGGGAAGCTCACCACTGAGGTTGCTGATTCCGTTACTGAACTGCTTGGACTGTTTGCAAGTTCTTCCGACTAAGCCTAAGTTGGCTTCCCTCACAACTTCCTCTCACTGGCTCTAGTTTCCCATCGTATGGTATAAATATCAAAGTGCCCCAGTAGGGTCTGAACTGGGGACTGGGGACTCAGAGATAAAAGTTACTGGTCCCTGCCTCCAGAGGTCATGGTCAAGGAATGGGCATTGATTGCAACAGTGGTGTGGGGGAGGGGGATGGTGCTGGGGGCTCCAGAAGAGATGGGTGGGGCAGTGTGGTAGTCGGGGTCAAGGAGCAGAGCAGAGAAGGAGAGGTGGCACGTGGGGCTAGACTTGGAAAGGTGATTCAAGGTGCAGAATGAGAGAAGCAGTGTGAGAGGCTCAAAGGCATGCAGGCTACCACCCAGGCAGGGATGAGACCTGGGGAGCTGTGGCCAGGGGAGTGCCCTCTGCTGCCACCCCTGCTCAGGTCTTTGCAAAGATTTGGTCCTCTAGGCTTGTGGCTGCAGGGCGCCTCACCAGCCATGTCATGTTGCAGGCCTCTGCAATGTCGCCACCTCTGTGCTCCCTCCTGCTGGCCCTGGGCCTGGGGCTGGCTGGAACCCTCAACCCCAATGACCCTAATACCTGCAGCTTCTGGGAAAGGTGAGAGGGGCCCCGATGTGCCTTGAGGGCTCTGAGCCCCCAGCTCCCCATTTTTCCTACTAGGGCTCCTCTGCCTGGGTCCTGCCCTTCTCTCCCTTCCTCTCTGCACCCTTCGCTTCACCTCCCTTCCTTTTCTGCTTCTGCTTTCTCTGCTCCCCTCGTGGGCTGCCTCTGATTCTCTCCCCGTCTCTGACCTTGTCTCAGTCTCCATCCCAGCTCTGACCCTGCCTGTCTTTCCTTTACTCCGGTCCCCTTGGTCCCTGGGGGAGGCTGGCTGCAGGACAGAGCACAGGGTGGCCATTTACTGTGTGTGTGGGGGGGTAGGCAGAGGGACTGGCCCGGGGGGAGCAAAGAGGGCAGGTTGGGAAACAAGGCCTGGGGCAGGATTTGGCCGGAAAGGCTTCAACCCATGTCCATCAGTTGGGCCTAGAGTTAGCTCTTGCTCGATCTCTGTGCTTGGGCAGAGGGAAAATTTGACAGCTCTGGTTCCGTAGAGTGAGAAGGGGCTCTGATGGAGGGGGTGTTCCACAGCTGCTGTAATTCTAGGAAGATTCCTCCAGACTGAGGGCCAGGGTGGGAGTCCGTCCTAGGCTGCGGGGAGCAAGCCCAGATGTTGGGGTGGTAATTCCCCACGGTGGCCAAGCCTCACAGCCCTGCTTCTCGTGGCATCTATGCCAACTCAGGCCTCTCCCTGCCCTGAGCCTCTGGCCCTTTCCTGTCTCGCAGCTTCACCACCACCACCAAGGAGTCCTACTCCCGCCCCTTCAGCCTGCTCCCCTCAGAGCCCTGCGACCACCCCAGGGAGAGCCCCCACACCTGCCGGCAACCCACGTGAGTCCCTGACCTCTGTGGGCAGACGGGCTGCTCCTGCTCCTATACCCTGTCATTCTCTTCTCAGAACCTTTAGAGTTTCGAGGAAGCATCTGGCCCCCAGGCACTGGGGGTGGTGGTGCTCTGCTCCCTCCCAGCACAGTGTTGGGCAGTGCCGCACTGTGGGAGGGGACACTGGGGCCTCAGTAGGGACACTGAAGGCCCTTCCGGGTCTTCCCAGGGTTGTCTACCGGACTGTCTACCGCCAGGTGGTGAAGACGGACCACCGAAGGCGCCTGCAGTGCTGTCGGGGCTTCTACGAGAGCGGTGGGGTCTGCGTCCGTGAGTCCTGGGTGGGGCTGTGCAACGGGAGGGACCCAGCCCCCCCTTCCTAGCCCTTCCCCGAACCTGCCAGGGCAGGGCTGCTCCTCTGACCTCTGGGTTTCCCCTCCCCTCCTTCCCCCGGCCTTGTCCCCCAGGCCGCAGTTTCGGACTCCTACTCTGTCTCCAGTTGAGCCCATGCGTCTCCCACCCCTTCTCCACGTCCTCGGCGGTCTCTGTCCCTGCGCCTCTGGCTTTCCGAGCCTCTCCCTCTGTTTCTGGTTTGCCTGTGTGTCTGTCACTGTGTGTCTGGGGCCTCATCTCCTGGGTCTGCTGCTGTCTCTTCCTGTCCCTGTCTCTGTTGCCATCTGTCTCTGACTTGCTGATGTGCAGTCTCTTCTGCCTCTTGCCCAGCACCCTGAGACCCCCAGATGAACTGCTATGCCTCTCTCCCCTTGCCTCGCGCCTGGCCCATCATCAGTCCGTGCCCAGCCTGACCTACCCTGGGCCCCCACTCTCTCTCTGGATAGCATCCATGTCTAATTGCTACATGAGACCCTCTCCCCATTTTCTCAAGGTGCTTTGAGAATTTCACAGAAAGGGGCCGGGCAGCCTGAGACCCTTGGACCTTGTCAAGCTCTGACCTGAGCTGCTGCCCCTCAGTCTTTGCATTTTAGAGGCAGAATGGCTGCTCGGAGAACCCCGGGTCCCTGATGTGGGAGGAAGATGGGGTTAGGCTTCAGAGAATAAAGGTGGGTAAGGGCAGGGTTGCAAGCCTCTTCACATTACCCCATCTCTGCTCCAGCCCTTTGTGCCCAGGAGTGTGTCCATGGCCGCTGTGTGGCACCCAATCAATGCCAGTGTGTGCAAGCCTGGCGGGGTGACGACTGCTCCAGTGGTGAGTGGTTGGTGACTGCAGGGCCTCGGCACACCCTCCTTACTGGGGCACAGGTGCTTAGGACCCCAGGGCAATTATCCGCCATATCCCCGTTGGGATGTGCGGTATGCTGCTTTCCAAAGAAGTGGTACAGAGTTTGGGCCAAGCCAGACATAGATGTATGTGGCGGCTGGGAAACTGAGTCAGGGATTAACTGGAGGCTGAGAAGGGGTGAGACCCCTTGTGACCCCCTTCTCCCCATCTCATCTCACAGATTGTGCCCCAGGAGTGTGGGGGCCACAGTGTGACAAGCCCTGCAGCTGTGGCAACAGCTCCTGTGACCCCAAGAGTGGGGCATGTTCCTGCCCCTCTGGCCTGCAGCCCCCACACTGCCTGCAGCCCTGCCCCCCTGGCCATTATGGCCCTGCCTGCCAGTTCCGCTGTGAGTGCCACGGGGCGCCCTGTGACCCCCAGACTGGAGCCTGCTTATGCCCTCCAGAGAGAACAGGGCCCAGGTATGTAATAGGGGACAAGCACACTAATGGGGTCACAGGTATATGTGGGCATATGAGGGGGTTCTGACAGGATTCCAAATGGGATGGACTCAAAAGGCCAAGACCCTAGACCCAGCTCTGCCACTCACTGGTTAAATGACCTTGAGCAAATCATTGACTATGAGCTTGCTCCTGGTCTGTGCAGTGGCGTCCCTGTGGAAAGGTTACTGTGAAGATAACACGAGCCTGTGTGTGGAAGCATGTCATAAAGTGGGGCTAAGACAGGGACCCAGAGAACCCTGTTGCTACACAGGGCTCAGGGAGAGCTGGGGAGTCACAGGAAGGAGCAGGTCCACCTAGGTGGAGGCCTCCATGCAGGCAGAGGCTTTCTCCCAGAAAGAAAAGTGTGAGCAAAGGCGGAGGCAGGGCTGTGTCACTGCCGTTAATAGTCTGGGAGATTTTCGCTTTGCCCCCCAATGTGGGTGGGGGGACAGGGACATTTACTGAACCCTGAAGTCAGACCTCCCTCCTGGAAGGACCTGTGAGTGGTCGGCCATCTCTTGGAGGCAAAGGGGAGGTGGGTACTGCTTGTTCATACACTGACATCACCTGTTTTGCCCAGTAGCTGCGATGTGTTCTGTCAGCTGGGCACTGTTGGCTTCTTCTGCCCCAGCACCTCTCCTTGCCACAATGGGGGTGTGTTCCAGGCGTCCCAGGGCTGCAGCTGCCCACCTGGTTGGATGGTATGAATGGTGGGCCTGTTGAGATACGGTGGGGGTCTGGGGGCCTTTCTGTGGGTGGGTCTCAGCAGGGCTGTGAGGTCGGTGTATGCGAGGGGCTGGGTTCTGTGGGCCTGGAGAGGTTTGAGGGCTCTTGGTGTGGGAGCGGGTGGGTGTCTGGGGCTCTGTCGATTTCTCACTCCACAGGGCACGATCTGTTCCCTGCCCTGTCTGGAGGGCTTCTATGGATCCAACTGCTCCCAGGAATGTCACTGTCACAACAATGGCCTCTGTGACCGATTCACTGGGCAGTGTCGCTGTGCTCCAGGCTACACTGGGGACGGGTGAGTGGCATTGGCCAGGGCGGAAGCGGTGGGGAGGGGTGGGTGTAGCCAGGCTCACTCAGCTGGGCTCGCAGGTGCCGCGAGGAGTGCCCCGTGGGCCGCTTCGGACAGGACTGTGCTGAGACATGCGACTGCGCCCCTGGGGCTCGCTGCTTCCCAGCCAATGGTGCGTGTCTGTGCGAACACGGCTTCACCGGGGACCGCTGCTCCGAGCGCCTCTGCCCCGACGGCCTCTACGGCCTCAGCTGCCAGGTGCCCTGCACCTGCGACCCAGAGCACAGCCTCAGGTGGGTCGCAGGACACTGGTCACGGATTTAGGAGGCCAGTGGGAGAGGCCTTTGGTGCCGAAGCCTCCGGAATCACAAAAAGCTCCAGGGGCATATCCAAGGGCGTGACAGATGTCACAGGAGGGAAAAGAAGGGCCTTGGGGACAGAGAAGTGGGGCACACTCAAAACAGCACCGAGCCATCCTTGTGCCCCCTCACTTGGCAACGCGGGCTGTTGCCCACGAAGGGGTCCAGGGATCGGCTCCCGGCCGTGGCTCAGAGCACACCACCCGCCTCTGTCCGCAGCTGCCACCCGATGAGCGGGGAGTGCTCGTGCCAGCCCGGCTGGGCCGGCCTTCACTGCAACGAGAGCTGCCCGCAAGACACACACGGGCCCGGCTGCCGGGAGCACTGCCTCTGCCTGCACGGCGGCCTCTGCCAGCCCGACAGTGGCCTCTGCCTGTGTGCACCCGGGTACACGGTGAGGCGCGCCCTGAGACCTGGCCCCGGCCGGGGCGGGGGGCAGGGGGGGGGTTGGCGAGCGGAAGAGCCGGTCCCCTCACTAGGCCGCCCACTGCCTTCAGGGCCGGCACTGCGCCAGCCTCTGTCCACCTGATACCTATGGAGTCAACTGCTCCGCACGCTGCTCCTGCGAGAATGCCCTCTCCTGCTCGCCGATTGACGGCGCTTGTGTCTGCAAGGAAGGTAATGGGGTGGGTCACCGAGAGGGAGGAATTGGGGGGCATATATATATATATATATATATATATATATATATATATATATAGAGAGAGAGAGAGAGAGAGAGAGAGAGAGAGAGGAAGAGGAGAAAGAGTGGTAGAGAAACATCACTGTGTGGTTGCCTCTCATGTGTCCCCTAACTGAGGACCTGGCCTGCAACCAAGGCATGTGCCCTGACTGGGAATCAAACCAGCGACCCTTCCAATCGTTCTCAGAGGCCCAGTCCAGAAGTTCCTTCTTTAGTGAACAGTGTTCACCCTCAGTGATACAGAACCACAAGATGGCAGCACACGGAGGGCTCTGGCATCTAGCAGGGGTGGCATGGTGGCAGTGTGTAGGCTGGATTCTGAAACAGCTGTGTTTTGTTTGGCTAGCTCTCTATTATGTTTAACAAACCTCCAGTCTCCAGTCCCCACTGCTCCCTATTGTATTACACATGATGTGGATAAATCCTTTAGTTAACCCCTTCATTTTTCAAAGAAGCAACCAAGACCCAGAATGGGGTGGTGCATGGCCAGCAGCCATTGAGCTTTCTGTTCCATATCTAACAGTTCATATGTTTGTCTCTTGTATGGGACCATGAGCACCCCTACTCCACCATGCAACTCATAACAGAGTCTGGCACAGCCAGTGCCCTGTGTGTTCTCACTCAGGAGGGGAGCCGAGTCCCCATGCCTACCTGCAGATCCCTCCTTCCAGGTTGGCAGCGTGGCAACTGCTCTGTGCCCTGCCCACCTGGAACCTGGGGATTTGGTTGCAATGCCAGCTGCCAGTGTGCCCATGAGGCAGCCTGCAGCCCCCAAACTGGAGCCTGTACCTGCACCCCTGGGTGGCATGGGGTCCACTGCCAGCTCCCCTGCCCAGTAAGTGCTCAACAGCCTGCCTGCCTGGGGGTGGGGAGGGCATGGCGCCCTAGCCTTCAGCTGACTAGTCTGCCCTACATCCACTCTCTCTCAAAGAAGGGGAAGTTTGGTGAAGGCTGTGCCAGTCACTGTGACTGTGACCACTCTGATGGCTGTGACCCTGTTCATGGATACTGCCAGTGCCAAGCTGGCTGGACAGGTGAGCATTCTGGGCGTCCAGATCCCAGGGCCACTGTGGAGTCGGTGGTGCATGCCCTAGGAACTGTATCTAGAAGAATCCCTATGGAAGGGGAGAGAGCCAGGCTCACTCTACTCCTCGCTCCCACAGGTGCCCGGTGCCACCTGCCCTGCCCTGAGGGCTTCTGGGGAGCCAACTGCAGCAACACCTGCACCTGCAAAAACGGGGGCACCTGTATCCCTGAGAACGGCAATTGTGTGTGTGCACCCGGATTCCGAGGTCCCTCCTGCCACAGACGTGAGGCCCCCTCCTCGCCCACCTGTCAGCAGTGTCAGATGCTAGAAGCCTGCGCCCTACCCATCTTGTCTTCTCCCCCCGATTCTGATCTTTGTGCCAGTTACTGCAGTAAGAAAGAGGGAGGGAAATAGTGGAACCAAGGGCTTATTGAGGGATGGCCCCTGCCCCCAATCACCAGGAGCGTCTTTCTCCCAGCCTGTCAGCCTGGACGCTATGGCAAACGCTGTGTGCCCTGCAAGTGTGCTAACCACTCCTCCTGCCACCCCTCGGATGGAACATGCTACTGCCTGGCTGGCTGGACTGGCTCAGACTGTTCCCAACGTACGTCTCTTCTCCTATTCCTGGGTGTTAAAGCCTCTGGACCTAACCTGATTCAGTCAATTAGATAAACAATATAAAGAAATACTTATTGGGCATCACCTCCATTCTGGGTGCTGAGGATACAGCAATAAACAGGGAAAAACGGTTCCTTGCCCTTTTGCACGGGAGGCCTAGGAAGAGCAGGGGGTGAGGGAAGCCACAGTTCAGTTTTGAACATGTTCTTTTTTTTTGTACTTTTCAATGTATTTATTTATAAATTGTTGTCCATGGCTTCTTTCCCACACAAATACATGAACAACATCATGGGAAAGATTAGCCCAAATCAACCAAGTGAAATAAACTTTGGAAAAGGAAATGAGAAGCTATGATTATGAAATAGGCTTGGTGTAAGCTCATTCATTAGCAGGCAGGGTAGAGGAAAGGCATCTTGGTGAAGAGCTTTCCATAGAATTCAGTAATAACTACTATTAGATTATTTGCTAATGTCAAATACACAAAAATTGTGCTTTCGATAGTGTGGACATTTATGTCTGTCATGTTCTAAAAAAGAAGTCCAGAGCTACACCCTGCAGGGCAGTTTGGAAGGCTTTTGTCGCCTGGCCCTACTGTGTTGTTCCGAGTGGCCATTAATAGCTGAGCGTAGACTTTAAGTAGGCAGCTGGGCACATAGGTCTGCAGATCAGCATTTATGAGTCATCTGAGTGTAGATACTGTTCAAAGCTTGGTGTCCTTGGGGAGACTGAAGCTGAGGGACAGGTTTCAGTGATGCTGGGGGCTGAGAATCCATCTGGTGTGGGCAGGGCAGGGCTGGGCTCGCACACGAGGCAGGCCCCTTGTCTCCTGCAGCGTGCTCTCCAGGACATTGGGGAGACGGTTGTGCCCAGCCCTGCCAGTGTCACCATGGTGGGACCTGCCATCCCCAGGATGGGAGCTGTTTTTGCCCCCCAGGCTGGACTGGACCCCTCTGCTTGGAAGGTACCAATAGAAGGAGAGCTCCATGCCCCTGTCCCCAAATCAGCCCTGGCCCAAGGAGGGGACTGCAGTGTCCTGGCAATCTCTCATCCCCGCCTACTTCCTTGGCTCTCTCCTAGGCTGTTCTCTAGGGATGTTTGGTGCCAATTGCTCTCAACCATGCCAGTGTGGTTCTGGAGAGAGGTGCCATCCAGAGACAGGGGCCTGTGTGTGCCCCCCAGGGCACAGTGGTGCCCCCTGCAGAATGGGTGAGTTCCTCTCTAGGTCTCCATCAGCCTCAGGGAACCAGGACACAGGTACTTGGTTGGGTCTATGCCAGGATCTAAGCCCCTCATCTAGGGGTCCTCCCATGCACGTCCCCCAAGCTCACTATCAGAACCAAGACACTGTCCTGAATGACTGCCCTACCCACTAGGAAGCCAGGAGCCCTTCACCATGATGCCTCCCTCTCCAGTGGCCTATAACTCACTGGGGGTGGTGATCGGCATCGCAGTACTGGGGTCCCTGGTGGTGGCCCTTGCGGCATTGTTCATTGGCTACCGCCACTGGCAAAAAGGCAAGGAGCACCAACACCTGGCAGTGGCGTACAGCAGCGGGCAACTGGACAGCTCTGAGTATGTCATGCCAGGTGAGCTGGGAAGAGGACACGTCCAATGGCCGCTTACAGGCAGGGGGTTTCTGCATCTCTCCCCAGACCTAGAAGTTGGGAAGTGGAGGGATGGAGGGAGGGAGGAAGGTCAGAGGGGCTGGTTAGTTACCCCCTGGAACAGAATAACATTCTCAGGCCCGGGCCTATCTCTGATTCGGTGGGTCATCCTGTGTCTGTGTCTGTTCTTGCAGATGTCTCTCTGAGCTACAGTCACTACTACTCCAACCCCAGCTACCACACCCTGTCACAGTGCTCACCCAACCCCCTGCCCCCTAACAAGGTCAGTGCTGGGGGAGGGGTGCACTGTGAAGGTAAAGACCTGCTTCTCTGGAAAGCTCCACCCTTGCATGTCCTTCTCCCTTTCTGCTTCTCCTCTATCAGGTTCCAGGCAGTCAGCTTTTCACCAGCCTCCAGGCCTCCGAGTGGCCCGGTGGAGCCCATGGGCCAGATAGCCATGCCACTCTGCCTGCTGATTGGAAGCGCCGCCGGGAGGCCCCTCCAGGGCCTCTGGATAGGGGTAGGAGTCTGGAGGCCAGGCCTCTGGTGAGGGTGGGTGTGTACCGCTCAAAGTCCTGCTCCATCTGAGGGTATGCATCTGCAGAAGGGGGCTCTGGGCACCAGTTTTAGAGGGGGCTGGAGGGGGCCAGAACCTGGAGAGGAGGTCAGGGGTCTGATCAGGCATTGCCTCCTTCTCCTCAGGTAGCAGTTGCATGGACCGTAGCTGCAGCTATAGCTACCGCAGCAGTAATGGTCCAGGTCCATTCTACAGTAAAGGTATGGCCATGGGGTGGGGGGTGAGCAGGGGGATGGGGTGTAGGGGGTGGGGTGAGGTTTAGGAGCCAGTGCCTCTCCTGAGCCTGAATTCTTTTTTCTATCCTCAGGGCCCATCTCTGAAGAAGGACTGGGGGCCAGTGTGGCTTCCCTGAGCAGTGAGAACCCCTATGCCACCATCCGGGACTTGTCCAGCCTGCTCGGGGGCCCCCGGGAAAGCAGCTATGTAGAGATGAAAGGCCCTCCGTCAGGATCTCCCTCCAGGCAGGCTCCTCAGCTCCTGGACAGCCAGAGGCAGCGATACTTGAAGCCGCAGAGAGACAGTGGTACCTATGAGCAGCCTACTGCTCTGACCCATGGTGAGCCCTCCTTCTCCACAGGGGCAGGGGCTAGAGAGGTAGAAAGGGAGAAGGGACAGGTGAGGTGGAATGGGAGAAAGGAACAGAGAAAGAACATGGAGGTGGTATGATGTGGCAGCAACAGCAAGGCTTTTGGGGGCAGACTTGGGCTCAGTTCAGGCGTGGTGTTTGGGAATCATGGCGCCTCTTAGAGCCTGAGGCCGAGGATTTGAAGCGGTGGTGGTATAGCACCTAACCTGTGGAGCTGGTACCCAGAAAAGTGGGGAACAAGGCAGATGACAAAGTATCCTCATCCTGTGAGGTGAGTGGGTCAAGATGGCCTCTCCTCCTGGCAGGTGAGGAGCTGCACCAGCCACACAAACTGCCCTGTAGCCCAGCACCAGGCACTTTGTCTTTGGGTAGAAGAGGCTGGAGAGGGGAGCGGTAAGATGGGGGGGAGCTACCTCCCCTTCTTTCCGTCCCCTCTCTGTCTCTAGACCGAGACTCCGTGGGCTCCCAGCACCCTCTGCCTCCGGCCCTGATCCCTGGCCACTATGACTCACCCAAGAACAGCCACATTCCTGGACACTACGACTTGCCTCCCATACGGCATCCCCCATCACCCCCACTTCGGCACCAGGACCGCTGAGGGACCAAGATGGTGTGCAGAGGCCAGTACACCTGTTCTTGCTGCCCAAGGTTGAGGACAGAGCCAGCCGTACCCTGCAAGGAGCAGGGAAAGTTCTGGCAGGTTGTGAATATGAACATGTTTATGAACAATTTTAATAGAGGAAGTGAATGGACAGATGGAAACCTGGCTCCTGGTTCCACACTGGGACCCTGGTTGGCAGGAGGCCTGCATTTCCTTTCTCTCCCCACTGCTCTTGAGGGCTGCCACGGCATGTGTGTATACATAAACCGGTGGGTTGAGTGTTACTGGATAACTCTGATGTCATATTGATGTAAAATGTATAGTGGGTACCTTTTCTGTGCACTCTTGGGCTGGGCTCTGTGTATGTGTGCATGTGTGCGTGTGTGAGCTTCTGTGTGTGTGTGTGCTTTCACAGGGGTACCGGGCACAGGCCTTGTCCTACAGCCCTCACCATTTAGTAGAGAGGCAGCTCAAAGACAGTTAACCTTGGCAGCAGTGTCTCCTTTCTCCCCCTGCATTCACTTGGCATCCCTTCCAACCAACAGCTCCGAATACAAGGTGGTTAGGCTGCCCTGCCTGAGTGTCTTCATGGGTGCCCCATTGCTACTGGGCCAGAGCGGAAACTGTCAAAGGTCTTAAGTAAAGGGTCTGCTGGCTGTCCTATCTCTGTCTTCAGCTTCACCTTGAATTGTGTTCACTGCTCCAGTCACACTGGCTTCTAGGTCCTCCCATTAACCATTCTTCTTCCTGTCACAGGGACTTCATACATCTGGAATGCTCTTCCTCTCCCACTTCTACTTGTCCTTCACATCCCCTCCTCTGGGAAGCATCTCTCTTTAATAGCACTGATCACAGCTGTATTCATTCACCAGATGTCTGCAGAAGACCTGCAGGGTGCCAGGCACCTCTGTAATGTGTTGCTTCTTTATGTGATTCTTTGATTAATTTCTGCTTCCCCCACCAGAATGTAAGTTTCCTGAAGGCAGGAGTCCTGTGTTTACGCTCAACATTGGTTCCCCTTCACACATAGTAGGCAATAAATATTTTCTAAAAGACTGAGTGACTGAGTGAATTAAAAGTACCAGTGACAGTGATAAGTGCTCAGACAGATGGGCAAGTTGCATGTTCTGAGACTGAACAGGTGGGAGCCTTGCCCCAAACTGACATTTTAAAAAAAGATTTTATGTATTTATTTTTAGACATAGGGTAAAGGAGGGAGAAAGAGAGGCAGACAAACATCAGTGTGTAGTTGCTTCTTGTGCCCTCTACTGGGGACCTGGCCCACAACACAGGCATGTACCCCGACTGGGAATCCAACCTGCAACCCTTTGGTTCACAGGCCAGCACTCAATCCACTGAGCCACACCAGTCAGGGCCCAGGCTGGCATTTTTACAGGGGAACAGCAACAAGCTGAAAGGTGAGGAGGGCTGGGAGTGGCATTAGGGAAGTGGCACTGAGTGGGGTGTGGAGGCTGGAGGCAGGAAGGCAGACAGGAGATGGTATACCCAAATGGGGGGGCCCAGCAGGGTCTGGACTACTTGACGACTTTGAATCCAAGGTTTCTATACAGCATTTACCAGCCTCATCAACTTATTAGCAGATCAACTAAGTTCCAAGACTTGAGGAGGCCAAGTAGATGCAGTGGAGAATATTATGGGTCTGTCGGGGCCTTGTCCACCAGGACTCCTTTCCTTACAGGTTAGGAGGGCAGGCCCAGAGAGAGAATCTACCCCCACCGGGACTCTCCTTAAATTCCTCAGACACACCATCCCTGATAGGACGAGCCAGTTCTTCACTTTCTTGGATTCAGTTTCCTAGGGGACTTGGATGGCTGGGCGCTGGTCTTAGCCCCACACCTCGTCCTGGTCTCTTTTAGCCCTGTCCTTTCAGCCCCAGCCCAGGTCTTGGACAGGCCTTGGCTCTCTCCCTTCCCACGGGGTTCGCTGGGCCAGGTCCTCCGGGGCTCACCTGCTCCCACGTCCCGCTGTCCTATGGCTCTGCCCTGGCCCAGCTGTTTCCCTGGCTCCCACCCCCCACCCACTCACCAATGGCTCCGCCCTCATCCCTTGCTTTGAGTCGGGAGCGCCCCCTGTCGGCCCGCGTGCACTCTACGGTTACCAGGTTCCACCACTGGCCCTGCTGGTGCCGTTGTCGTGGAGAGGGACGCGGAGCCTATGCCACGGCGGACGCTGCATAGAAACCTCTTATTTGGACACCGCCTGCAGAATCACCACTCGTTTTGCCTCTTCACCCCCGTGAGGGTTCCTAGGGTCGCTGCAGACGGTACCAACATGTCTGGCGAGGCTAGTGTGCCCGCGGCGTCACCCAGGGCCCCGCGTCCGGGGACCCAGAAGTCGTCCAGCACAGTGACCAAGAAGGGGGATCGCGGAGCCAAGGAGAAGCCAGCGACCGTCCTGACCTCGGTGGGCGAGGAGGAGCCCAAAAACCCTGGTACGTTGGTGGCGAGATTAGGGGATCAGGTCTGGAGGCCTTGAGGCTGAGGCTGAGGCTCCGTGTGCTGCCCCAGCCCCTTGTGACTCTGGTTTGTCAGGCTGTAGTTGTTCCAGGCACTGAACTGGATGTGCAGAAAGACGCTCTGGTGGGCGAGACGGATGAACCAGGAAATAATAATAGGGTTTCTGGTTCAAAGAAGTGCTGTATGGAAAGGGCTGCACCGACTGAAGTTGTGTGTGAATGTAGCTAGCTCCTGGCACAGGTAAGAGTGTCGTAAGTGGTCACCATGATTAGATGTGTGACCTTGGGCCTGTTACTTCTCTGTAGTATGGAAGTGTGGGTCCTGCCCTGCCTCTGAGGTGAGGACGATGGAGTTGATGGTGAAAAAGTGTTTCGTAAACTGCAAATTCATGTGTTCATTCCACAAGCATAGACTGTGCACCCTCTGTGTGCCGAGCTCCCTGATCCGTCTTGGGATGTGAATCCCAGTTTGCCTCACATCACAGTTCCTGAATTTCAGCCTGGCAGACGTTTGAACTGAATTGATCTTAAAGAACCCACACTCTGCTTTGGGATGCTGACAGATGTGGGAGCAGAGCCCCCTTGGGGAGCTGAGAGACAATGGAAGCCCCATGAACAAGGGGGTGGGTGGAGGAGCCAGCACAGTCCTCCCTGTAGTCCTTTCTCCCAGCCCTTGGTTTCTTACAGTTTTCAGCGTGGGTCTTTACAACACCTCAGATAGGGAGGGGCCTACCGACCCCGAGGCCAAGCGCGGCGCGGTGGAGCTGGGAACACGGGCGGGCGGGCACTGACACGCGGGCCCTGCCCCTTGTGTTCCCCGTGCCTGGGCCCACAGAGGAGTACCAGTGCACCGGAGCCCTCGAGACTGACTTCGCTGAGCTCTGCACCAGGTCCGGCTACACGGACTTCCCCAAAGTTGTCACGCGGCCCCGCCCGCACCCAACCTCTCTCCCATCTGTCTCCTTGTCGGAAAAGCCCACCCTGGGTGAGTGACGGTGGAGCCCTGGGGTGCCTGTTAGGGCCACTCCGTCATCCCCAGCCTCCCATCCGCGGAGGGCTGAATTGCGGGAGCACAGGACAGAGTGGCTGTGAGGGGTAGCAGGTGGGATGGTGGGTGGGGGAGTCTTCTGGCTTAGCCGCCAAACCCAGCAGAACCTGGCCTGACCCCAGCACCGGCAACCAGCCAGCGTCCCACAGGTCTGAACCCTCCTGGGGTCCCTTTGAATCGGACCTTCCCTCCTCACCATCTCCTTGCACCCCTGTCTGCTAGACGATCAGAGGCTGTCGGGTTCTTGCAGCCTCAACAGTCTGGAGAGCAAATACGTGTTCTTCCGGCCCACAATCCAGGTGGAGCAAGAGCCAGAAGACAAGTCTGTGAAGGAAATCTATATCCGAGGTGGGCATACCCTCCTCTGCCCTGCTCCCTCCCCTGCCAACCCCTTCCTGAGGCCTGAGGGGTCTCCCTCCCTTCCCTTCTGCAGGCTGGAAAGTTGAGGATCGGATCCTGGGCATCTTCTCTAAATGTCTGCCCTCCCTCAGCCAGCTGCAGGCTATCAAGTGAGAGGACGTGGGGAGGGGGAGGGCCAGTGTGGGCGATGGCTCAGGAGAAAGACCCGGAGGAACAGGGAAGGTCCTGGGGAGGTGGAAAAGGGCGGGCGGCGAGGAAGGGTGCGGTTGGGAGGACGGTGTAGGGCAGGAGGTGCTGCTCCAGCTGTGTCCTGTGCTTTCTTTTCCACCAACAGCTTGTGGAAGGTGGGGCTCACTGATAAGACCCTGGCCACACTCATCACCCTCCTACCTCTCTGCTCACCCACTCTCAGGTCAGCCGAGGCCCCGAACAGGCGAGCTGGGAGGCCCCCAGTGCCTGGTAGCCAGGCTGAGTGGGTGGGTGGTCAGAGGGAGCAGTTTGGGGAGGCAAGTGCCAAGTCCCAGCTCCTAAGGGCCTGTGCTGGCACCCCTATAGAGATGGGGTTCAGCTGGTGTCTTTTGAAGCTCCCATCTAACACAAAGCAGAGTTCCCTCTTCTGCCTACACTACTGCGCAAGGGGCCGGATCTCTGTGGCCTCATCCCTCTCCCTCCATCAGTCCTACCACCACTCTCTCCCTGGAGTTTTTCCCTTGTTTCCTGAGGCCTGGGACTCGACATGATACTAGGGGCTGGTTTTTCTCCTCCAGGACCTGGCAGTCCAGTGAGAGAGGGAGAAGGATTTAGGAAGAGATACTGCAGGACAATGTGGGGACTGTGGTGGCAGAAAAGTGGTTCATGGGGGGAGGGAGTAGGAGCAGAGAAGTAGTGTTACCCTATGGGTGTGGGGCACAGTGACATGGGAGGCTGCTCGGACGAGGTGGTGTGGAGCTGAGCCTTGAAGGAGGAATAGGAGGGGCTCAGGCAGGGAATTGGGAAAGGAGGGAGCAGGAGCAAGGTGGGAGGTAGTGTAACTACAGGTGTGGTCTGCTGTATAAAGGACAGAGCTGGTTTGCTGCTCCTTGCTCCTTCTCAAGGCTCCCCCAGCACCCTTGACTTCTCTTGCTTCTCAGAACACACTCAGCCCTACACACTGGCTTGTTTGTCTTCCTTTCATAGGTGGGATGGATGATTCTTGTGGGACTGAATCAGCTTCAGCTGGAGGTCCTTAATACTCTGGATAGAATACCATGAAACTTTATTTTATTCTCATGGTAATTAGACAATTTAGCCAGCAGAAGAATAACTACAAAATTTGTTTAATATGTAAAAATAAGTTAGATCAACATAATAAAAGTAATTTAAAATGAATATAATTGTTTAGATGACAGATGAGCCAGCCTGAAAGGTTAAACAATGATAATATATTATGGGAGAAAATTTTGAAAGAGAAATTTCTAGCCATTAGTTCAATTTTTGTTGTGACTTGGAAAAAGGCCTCTGTTCTCTAAGCAATGTTGGAGAAGCCACTGCCTTGTGGACAGGGTACACATTAGTTACTTATTGCTGCATAACAAATCACCTATAAACTTAATGGTTTAAAACAACAGACATTTATTATCTCACAGTTTCTGTGAGATAAATCTGGATGTAGTATAGTAGGTGCTTCTGGCTCAGGGCACTGGTCAGGCTGCAGTGGAGCTGACAGCTGGGGCTGCGGTCGCCTCGGCTGGGTTTGCAGTATCTACGTCCAAGCCGACTTCCGTGGCTGCTGACAGGTAGCAGCGTGTCCATGGGAGGCAGGAGGCCCTGTAAGCAGCCTGAGTGCCCTGTCATCACGTGGCAGCTCACGGTGACCTGGGGAGTGCTAGAGAGCATCCAAGACTGGAGCCACAGTCTTTTTCCTAAGCTAAACTTGGAAGTGACATCCCATTACTTTCGCCAGATTTTATTAATCAGATATGAATCACTAGGTCCAGCCACACTTGAGGGGAGGGGATTACACAAGGGCATAGATACTAGGGAGTGGGGATCCTTGGAGTCATTATAGAGTTCACTGTAGTATAGGTTGCTAATTCTGGGGAGTAATCTGATCACTTCATATGGCCACACTTTTGGACTTCTGGTCTGGAGAACTAAATTACATTTAGTTCTCATGTAATTAAAAATTCTCAT